TACTCTGCTAAAACTGAACTAGAAGTGACAGGACGCTTAGGTACCCTAAAAAGGAAAACTGGCGTCCACTTGAAAAGAAAGAAACCATTGCCTGCATCGTGTTTATTTCCCTTGGACGATGGACAGTGTTTATCACTGTTTGATTCAGTTTTGTGAAGGATTATTTATTAATAATCCAACAGTGGGCAATTCAAACGATCCAAATGGACAAACTCAAGAAGCATATTCATCAATTTTTTGCCACCATTTACTTTTTATAGATATTTATAGGTTAAAACGATAATATAAACGCATAGTAATATAATAATAATAATGATGATGATGTTTGTCAGTTAGTTAGTTAGTTTGTCAGCTAGTTACTTAGTTTAGTCAGCTAGTTACTTAGTTTGTCAGCTAGTTACTTAGTTTAGTCAGCTAGTTACTTAGTATGTCACCTAGTTACTTAGTTTAGTCAGCTAGTTACTTAGTTTGTCACCTAGTTACTTAGTTTAGTCAGCTAGTTACTTAGTTTAGTCAGCTAGTTACTTAGTTTGTCACCTAGTTACTTAGTTTAGTCACCTAGTTACTTAGTTTAGTCAGCTAGTTACTTAGTTTGTCACCTAGTTACTTAGTTTAGTCAGCTAGTAACTTAATTTGTCAGCTAGTTACTTAGCTTGCAGTTAGTTAGTTAATTTGTCAGTTAGTTAGTTAGTTTGTCAGTTAGATAGTTAGTTTGCAGTCAGCTCGTTAGTTTGCAGTTAGTTAGTTAATTTGTCAGTTAGTTAGTTAGTTAGTTTAGTCAGCTAGTTACTTTTTTAGTTATTTTTTGCGACCATTTGCTTTTTATACATATTTACGGGTTTTAACGATAATATAAACGCATCGTAATATAATAATAATAATAATAATGATGTTTGTCAATTAGTTACTTAGTTTGTCAGCTAGTTACTTAGTTTGTCACCTAGTTACTTAGTTTGTCAGCTAGTAAATTAGTTTAGTCAGTTAGTTAGTTAGTTTGCATTAAATTAGTTAGTTTATCAGTTAGTTAGTTAGTTAGTTTGTCAGTTAGTAACTTATTTTAGTCAGCTAGTTACTTAGTTTAGTCAGCTAGTTACTTTTTTAGTTATTTTTTGCCACCATTTGCTTTTTATACATATTTGCGGGCTTTAACGATAATATAAACGCATCGTAATATAATAATAATAATAATAATGATATTTGTCAATTAGTTACTTAGTTTGTCAGCTAGTTACTTAGTTTAGTCACCTAGTTACTTAGTTTGTCAGCTAGTTACTTAGTTTGTCAGCTAGTTACTTAGTCTGTTAGTTATGATGATATTAATTATTCTTGTTTTAGTCTTTTTTAACCATTCTGCAGTGTCCTTCAAGGACCTCGTCATGTCCATCTTTGAGAAAGTTTATAATTTCATTTCGAACCATTTTCAATATTTTTTCTTCAGCATTTCTGACATCAAAATAATTAACAATGAATACAGTGCTATATCAGCTAACAATCAAACAATTTTTATGAATTTAAGCATGCTACAGTATACATAAAATAAATTTATAGAATTTGGGGCTGTTTCGATAACAATAATCATTTTGTCCACCTAGATTTACGAAATTAGCCACTGTACGACGTTCTAACTGTACTCATTTCGAGGAAACTCGCTGGAAGATCCGCCGGTTTGTCGTGACAGTTTAGAAAGTCGTTGATTTTGTTGTGATAGGCTCCACGTAGAATCGCGACACGTTACGATAGTTTAGAAAGTTGCATTGTGACGATCGAAGCTACCTGAATTTCGAGGGACCGCCATTTTTGTCACACGTTGGGCAACACTCACTTTAAATTCATTTCCAATGGAAAATTTACTCAAAATTAAATGTTTTCCAGAAGAATATTTAATCGAAAATAAATTTGTATAAATATAAGGTCATTTAGTAATAATTTGGTTATATAAATAAATTATCCAAATTATATAAGTGATATAAAACTATTTTCAAAGTAAATATCGAAATAAATATAAAGGACAGCAAAAATTATAATACTAGTTTTATTCATCAAATAAAGGATTAAAAGCCCTTTAAAATGAAACTTGCTTCACGTCGATAGTGTATTTAGTTCCGAAGATACAAAGATTTTTATTTCAAGTCGATAATGTCACTAGTTCTGGAAATATAAAGGTTCGAAGCGTTTGTTTACATTTCATTGTTTACGTCGAGAGGTCATTGACCTTTCGTGTTTGTGGGGAAACAGTAAACATTACGTCGAGAGGTCATTGACCTTACGTGTTTGTAGTAAATAGTAAACAGTAAACATTACGTCGAGAGGTCATTGACCTTACGTGGTTTGTAGTAAATAGTAAACATTACGTCGAGAGGTCATTGACAGAGGTCACTTCTATTCTTATTGTTTACTTTCTGAGAAATAATATGTAGTCTCTTTTGCCTGTAATGATCGGGCGTCTTATTTTGGCCTATAGAATCTCCCATTAAAATTTGTAATTAGTGGCCGAACACCCTGTATATAGTCCCAGTATTCAGTTTCCATTGTCTTAGGACAGTCCAATAACGCGTATTAAAAATACTGAAACTTTAGACGCGTGCAGTTCCGAAACTACTAGGGCTTTATTAATTATTAAGGTATTGTTAGAAGCGGTGAACCTTCCCCTTTAAAACGGTTTTTGGTTTTTGACGATCGGACATTCCGTTCACGAGATATCGTAATTTATGTAAAAGGTAATTTTTTAAATTCCGCTGTGCTCTCGCTTCCCCGTGTTAGACAAGGCTATTAAACGCGTATTAAAAATAGTTAAACTTTGGACGCGTGCAGTTCCGAAACTACTAGGGCTTTATTAATTATTAAGGTATTGTTAGAAGCGGTGAACCTTCCCCTTTAAAATGGCTTTTGGTTTTTGACGATCGGACATTCCGTTCTCGAGATATCGTAATTTATGTAAAGCGGTAATTTTTCTTAATTTGACTATCTCTGTCTTCGTCTGACGCGTTACGCCGGGGCCTCCTTGTCGCACGTGAGTCGAGACAGTCACGTGACCAGGAAGACGTAGTATTTACTACGCACTGTTTACTATTTTCGCGCGCGCGAGTTCATTGATAACAATGAATGTAAACAAAGGCCCTCGTATCTAAGAAACTAGCCACCGCGTCGACTTGAAATTAAAATCGCCATATCTCCGGAACTAATTACGCTATCGACTCGCACAAACGCTCATTTTAAAGGGCATTTCATCCTCTATCCGATGACTATACAAACTATTATAATTTATTTTATCTTCCATGTTTATTTTGCAATTTACTTTCACGCGATCGACTTGAAACTAAAATCCTCATATCTACGGAACTAATTACGCTATCGACTCGTTCAAACGCTCATTTTAAAGGGCATTTCATCCCCTATCCGATGACTATACAAACTATTATAATTTATTTTATCTTCCATGTTTATTTTGCAATTTACTTTGACGCGATCGACTTGAAACTAAAATCCTCATATCTACGGAACTAATTACGCTGTCGACTCGCACAAACGCTCATTTTAAAGGGCATTTCATCCTCTATCCGATGACTATAAAAACTATTGCAATTTATTTTATCTTCCATGTTTATTTTCACATTTACTTTGAAGCTACATGCCTAAAGAAGTTTCAGCAGTTCCTACTGATCGTACGACTGTATATTATACGATATAATGCAGAAATTAGGCGATTAGAAATCATTTGACCATGGTAGGAACAGGTATACACGAAGTGTCGGTAATGTAATATACCATGACACTCAATTTTCCAGAAAATTTCATGCAGATTTTATTCCAAGTACAAAATAACCTTCCTCGATACGATACCTAGAAAATTTGTGCCTTATTTATAATTTTTACGAAAGCATCATTGTTTAAGTATTATAGGAAAATTAATTTTCATAGTAATTCATCGTAGAAGAAATTTAAATGCAAATTGATAGCATTTTATAGATCGTTCGTTGAAGATATAAAATGCAATTTATTACAGAAATTATTAAAACTTGAACAGTAAATAGCATCTGACGAGTGAAGAGAAATACGGCTTCCCCAAGGTTTTTCTTTTTCCACTTACGTGGGATTTTCTAGCTACAAGGAAACACAAAGTGATCGTTAAACTTGTCTTCGGATAATCAAACACCTATTAGCATAAGAAAATTGATGGAATTTATTTATCACCCGGGATAATCATAGAGCTATGAATCCCCCATTAGACGTAACGAATCGCGCTTTCCTGTCAACAGGAGCTACAATTTCTCTGTGATAGAAAATTACGATGGCCCTTTTTTAATCCTCTTTTCAGTAAAACCTGTGTTATACCACGATTACATTAAAAGCTTGAAATATGTAGCTAAACCGTGTATTTAGAATTATGGCGTCGAGAAATATGTATTTACATACGTCAGTGTCTCGTGGAAAAATTTTAATAACCCATAGGAATATCAAACAACCATAACTTTTTATTTGTAATATAGTGGTAGGAATTTTTATTTGTTTACCTAGACGCTCTCAGAGTGGTCAAAATTAAAAAAACATTCATGAAGAAATTTAGAGAATTTCACGTAAAATAAACTTGCATAAATATTAAATATTAAGGACCTCCTTCTTTATAAACCCTATGAATTGTTTGCTTTATCGAAATTGATGCAAAATCACACATTTAGAAAATAAAATGATGCTATAATACGAAACACAGTAAGGAAATTTGATTTTAACAAGTTTGTCTTGGAAATTCCAGTCACGTGTATGATTTCTTATTAAAAACATTCTTTTACATCATTAAGAGGCTACTACTATAACTAACTAGACTTTTGCAATACAGCAGAGTTTTCCTTCTTGATATTGCATTGACAAACACCATGTATAAGGAAAATCTCTTGTATTACACAAGAATTCTTAAGAAAATTTTTTTGGATTTATTGAAAATCCAATATATAATTTTAATAACTAATTATTGTAAGGGGAGTAATGACTTACTTTTAGATATGTATTATTGAGCCAATCCTGGCGGCACTGCAATGCCAGGCTGACTCGCGACAGAGGTGGAGCAAGCCCCAACGGCTCCGTCAATTTCCAAAAATCAGATTAATATTCTGGACTCCCCGATGGGGAGTGTATCAGATATTAAGCTGATAAGAACAGATACTACACTTTGATCTTAGCCATCAGGCCGAGAAGCGATACTAGAGCTACGTTTTCCATTCTATATAATGTGTACAGGATGCAAATTTCGCAGCGAGAAGCGATCGACCGCCGCGTCCGCCTGGCGGCGGCTCGTCGAACTTCTCGACCGTAGCGCGAGAGCACGGACCAACTGGGTGCTCCAGGAACGTACCTACAACGTCCAGGTCCTACTAAATGATCGATAACTTCATTATTTCTGGAAAAATTTCGTTTAACGTCTCCCTTTAACGAAAAATTCGATTTTCATGAAATTCGAAAATATTTACCCGGCGATTTTTTGTCGAACTTATCGAGTGATTACGTTTCTATTTATAGAGTATAAAGCTCTCAACAGAATTAGTAATCTCTAATTTTTTCAGAATTTTCGAAGGCGTGGAACGTAGTGAAAAAGCTTTATATTGCCGTAATTACTTACATACGTGACCATGTTCATATTTTTACAGCTATTGCGTAACATTATGACTATTAATGCGTAATTTTGTCAGATTTATTGGAAAAGTGCGTTATTGTTAAAGAATTATTAATTAATATTTCCTAATTTTCCTCACGGAAAAGTTACGAAATATGAATTAATATAATTCTTTAACAATAACGCACATTTCCAAAAAATCTGACAAAATTACGCATTAATAGTCATAATGTTACGCAATAGCTGTAAAAATATGAACATGGTCACGTATGTAAGTAATTAAGGCAATATAAAGCTTCTTCACCATTTTTTATTTTTTTCACTACGTTACACCCCTTCGAAAAATCTGAAAAAATTCTCGAATATTTACATCAGTCGATAGAATGATCATGAATTTTTTCATAATTTTTCATCGAGCAGAACGGGAGATATCAAGGACAAAAGAATGATTATTAACCCTGTTCACTTTGATTTGGGGACACTTTTATCATTTTTAGACTCGAAAGTGCAATTTTCTGGCAAAATACCCTAAACCTATTACTGGGTTAGGTTTGGGTTAGGTCTGAGTTAGATTTCGGTTAGGTCTGAGTTAGATCTGAATTAGATTTGGGTTAGGTCTGACTTAGATCTGAGTTAGATTTCGGTTAGGTCTGGATTAGGTCTGGGTTAGGTCTGGGTTAGGTCTGGGTTAGATCTGAGTTAGATTTCGGTTAGGTCTGAGTTAGATCTGAATTAGATTTGGGTTAGGTCTGACTTAGATCTGAGTTAGATTTCGGTTAGGTCTGGATTAGGTCTGGATTAGGTCTGGGTTAGGTCTGGGTTAGATCTGAGTTAGATTTCGGTTAGGTCTGAGTTAGATCTGAATTAGATTTGGGTTAGGTCTGACTTAGATCTCAGTTAGATTTCGGTTAGGTCTGGATTAGGTCTGGGTTAGGTCTGGGTTAGGTCTGGGTTAGATCTGAGTTAGATTTCGGTTAGGTCTGAGTTAGATCTGAATTAGATTTGGGTTAGGTCTGACTTAGATCTCAGTTAGATTTCGGTTAGGTCTGGATTAGGTCTGGATTAGGTCTGGGTTAGGTCTGGGTTAGATCTGAGTTAGATTTCGGTTAGGTCTGAGTTAGATCTGAATTAGATTTGGGTTAGGTCTGACTTAGATCTCAGTTAGATTTCGGTTAGGTCTGGATTAGGTCTGGGTTAGGTCTGGGTTAGGTCTGAATTAAGTCTGGGTTAGGTCTGGGTTAGGTCTGGATTAAGTCTGGATTAAGTCTGAATTAAGTCTGAATTAAGTCTGAATTAGATATGATTCTCGTGCAAGTGTTTGGTCATTCCATCCGTAAACTTCGTAGAAAGGGGAACCACAGAACCAAAGTTTCGATGACTTTCCCTTCGATTTCGACCCTCACAGACTCCTCACATCCAATTAACCAAAATAAATAAGACTAGCTTTGTCAAAAATGCAGAAACCTCGAAGCAACCTCGAAATCCGTCAGACATCAGGGGAAAAAAGGTGATAATTTTGATCGATTTAAATTGACGAAAGGCTTAAATCTCGAATATCGAATGCTTCAATAGATCCGCGATACGAGCGATCCTGTTTCGTGGCCGCTTTTTACCCGCGAATTAATCGATCACTTCGAGTTAATTGACACCGACAGATTCTATCACAAATTACCTCGCTGTTTCTCGGGCTCGTGTTCGACGATGAACGCGGGTACAGCGGTGACCATTTGATAATCGGCCTCGGCTACGTCCTGCTCCTGATCCTGCTTCGTGGCGAGCAACGCCTGCATGGCGCTCGCGTCCCCGCAGCTCCTCCTGGTGTACTTTGTCCTCGAGACCCTCAGCAGGGCGGCTGGGCCGATACCCTGACAGTTGTCCCCCGGCGGCTCGTCCAGGGTCGTCGGGCTCGACAACGACAGAGCAACGTCATCGGCGCTGTGGCGCCTAGACTTCGACAGACGCTTAAACATCCTTCCTGCAACCAAACAAAATCCCATCCAATCAATAACAGCTCAAAAACAACACTCATTCACTCATTAACACGAAACACCATTCATTCACGTTTAGAATTCATCATTTCTCGAAACAAACGAAGATAGTCACTTTGCTCCAACGATTCAGAGATTCTTTAAATGATATTAAAAGCGCCAAGGAAATGAAAAGACTGATACTGATACTATAAATACTGGTGAGATGGTGCAGAGAGCTTGATCAACTATTCTCAAAAGATTCACTAACAGAAATGGCTGCAATCTCTTGAGGATCAATCAGTCTAAGTTATGGGGAACCTGGAAAAGGAAAAGTAACAGAGATTGCAGAATTATTAGCAAAAGGACACTCGTAATCTCCACATTATAATTAAAACAAGTGTCAAGGAAATGAAAAGACTGATACTGACGCTATAGATACTGGTGAGATGGTGCAGAGAGCTTGATCAACTATTCTCAAAAGATTCACTAACAGAAATGGCTGCAATCTCTTGAGGATCAATCAGTCTAAGTTATGGGGAACCTGGAAAAGGAAAAGTAACAGAGATTGCAGAATTATTAGCAAAAGGACACTTGTAATCTCCACATTATAATTAAAACAAGTGTCAAGGAAATGAAAAGACTGATACTGACGCTATAAATACTGGTGAGATGGTGCAGAGAGCTTGATCAACTATTCTCAAAAGATTCACTAACAGAAATGGCTGCAATCTCTTGAGGATCAATCAGTCTAAGTTATGGGGAACCTGGAAAAGGAAAAGTAACAGAGATTGCAGAATTATTAGCAAAAGGACACTTGTAATCTCCACATTATAATTAAAACAAGTGTCAAGGAAATGAAAAGACTGATACTGATACTATAGATACTGGTGAGATGGTGCAGAGAGCTTGATCAACTATTCTCAAAAGATTCACTAACAGAAATGGCTGCAATCTCTTGAGGATCAATCAGTCTAAGTTATGGGGAACCTGGAAAAGGAAAAGTAACAGAGATTGCAGAATTATTAGCAAAAGGACACTTGTAATCTCCACATTATAATTAAAACAAGTGTCAAGGAAATGAAAAGACTGATACTGACGCTATAGATACTGGTGAGATGGTGCAGAGAGCTTGATCAACTATTCTCAAAAGATTCACTAACAGAAATGGCTGCAATCTCTTGAGGATCAATCAGTCTAAGTTATGGGGAACCTGGAAAAGGAAAAGTAACATTGCAGAATTATTAGCAAAAGGACACTTGTAATCTTCACACTGCAATTAAACCAAGTGTCAAGGATGGTCCTAGACACGAAAAATTGACAATCATTGACTGTTCCATCGAGCTGAGTCTATTAATCGAGTATAGTTCTGAGGATCTCTGGTGCTAGACGAAACTTGGCTCCCATTTTAGTCCCATTCGATTTCAGCTAACGGTCACACGTCCAGCGTCGATTGCAGGTCAAATTCTTCGCCGCGGAATGTGTACCGATGAGGGGGAAAAGGTGGTCGCGAATGCACCTTGAAATTTAGCTCGCCTTTAAAAACCAACGAGGAGAAAAACGCTCACGTATTCGTTACAACTGCCCGATGCACTTCGATCCGCAAGTTTCCAAGTACGATTTACCGTTCAATCCTTCGATCACGCAGCCGATACCTCGTGGGCTTTTTGCGGTTCGAGGGGGCAGCAATGAACTCGGCATAAATCACAGACAGACCGGAGCTGCAACGATGAACTTCGTACGAAAGAACAATAACACGTCTGTCGAACGCTACGCAGCTAACCCTCCGACCACCACGCCATTTTGTTCAGCGAAAATTACGCGACAGAGCCTTCTCTAACGAACTCTACGGGGAAATGTCGCGAATCTGAGGCTTTCCCGACAAATATTGATATTAATCTAGGTCTATCAGTTTGATGAAAGTTGGGAAAAATGTTAATTTCCTTTGGAGCTCTAAATTATCAGGAAAAACATTGTTCCGACACTGAGACCTTTCGCATAATGTTTTTAAGTCTTCAAACTATTATTTAAGCCAAAAAGAAATCGAATTTTTCAATATTCTAGAGTTACCAGACCCCTCGAGCCCCAAAAGGCTTTTTTTAATCGGTTCACCAACAGGTTAGACGGTTCTCCGATGATGCAACTGGCCCACCAATTAACGCGTATAAAAGATAATCACGAGGACTCGTTAATTCGTGCGGAAACCACCTGTCGCCCACTCGAGGATGCATTTCTTGCGCTGGACACTGGTAGGACGACGTGTGACCGGTCCCCTTAAACGTATATCGCGGGATCGCTGGGGACCCACGGGGCCCAACGTCCCCGAAATCGATGCGCCGCATCTTCGCTCGAGAAGACAGGTCCCAGACACCTTTGCGACGAGATAGGACACGGTTCTGAGGACTATGATCGCGTACAACGGAAGGCTTTTAAGATGATCGAAACACGTTTGTCGCATTTTGGATCCTAGTGATCTCTTTATAGTAATTAGACTGAAGGATGCTTGTGCAAATGCATACGTGTTCCTAGGAAATTGATACGAGAGTGAAACGTAAATAGAAGTTTGTTTGGTTACTTGAACAATATTATTATACATGGAAGATACAAAACATTAAATTCCATAATAGTAATTGGTTTAAACCTTGAAAGAAGTGCTTGAGAACAGGAAATGTATGAAATGAAATGAAAAAATTCTAGATTTCATAGTCGATCAGAGAGAACAGCAATTCCTGGAATAAATCCTCCCTTGTGCCAGTGACAAAAATTAATATCACAGAGGGGGCCATTTTAGTTGAATTTGACTGGCTAGTATTCTTAGTTGGAGGATTAATTTTCCAAGGAAGACCATTTTGGTGGGATTTGACTGCTTGGTGCCATTAATGTGGGAAAATTAATTCCCCAAAGAAGGTTACTTTGGTGAAATTTGACTGTTTGGTGTCATTAAGAGCGAAAGGGTTGTGGAAACGTTGCTTGCACCAAATGTCACTTTTTAACATCGAGGAAATATTAAAAAATCTGAAAGAGAATGAGCATATAGGGAATTTTAGTAATTTAAGAGCGAAAGGGCTGTGGAAACGTTGACCTGCGCGTATGTAGTATTCGATTCTGTTTGTAATCGATATGTACTTTCCATGTACGTATCGAACTCGTTCGATATGGAGAGAATTGAAAGGGCGCGATGCAAAATAATACTTTATTCCGGTGGTATCGATGGTTATTCCCATCGCTGATCGTACTCGAGGCCAGGACGCGACGTTTCTCGCGTTGGTCTCTCGGCACGTGCGTTACGTGAAACCGTGCAATATTCCCCCGGTCTGCATAAAAGTATGTACGTGCGAAGCGTGTGCAGTTCCTGCATGGACTTTCTCCAGCCCCGGGGGCGTAGTACGCGTTCGTGTATCGTAAGTTTGCTTACTCGGCCGTGCGCGGCCTGTTCCTTTCTTTCCAGCCTGAAAGTTAATGCATTTTAATCGTTCGACCCGATATCTCCGGCTCGCGGTTTCATCGCCGCGCCTCCATTAATTGGAAACTCGAAATCGCCACGTTTAAACAGCAATTCGTTCTTGGAATCATATCGAACGATATCCTAAGCCTTTTCCCCCAAAAAGGAATCTCAAATAACCTTGAAAATTGAAGATTAGATGATAGACCCTCTGTTTTTTATTCAAAATATTTCATCCATTATACGTGAAAAGAGCTGAGACAAAGAAAGAGAATTTTCATTGTAAAAAAGAGAATTTTCATTGTAAAAGAGAGAATTTAGTTTGAGAAAACTGTTTTAATTATTGATATGAAATTTGAAATCTGTGTGTTTAGGATTTCCTTATAACTGTTACTATTTTTGTCAGGACTTTGAACTTGATATTTACCTTTATCAAAATGACGAACAAAATTGTATTATTTAAATTACTAAAATTCCCTATATGCTCATTTTCTTTCAGATTTTTTCGTATCTTTAAGTATTTCTTAAAAGAGTTATTATAATTAGGGGTTGAGACAACCCTCTATGAAGCTCTCGTTTCATTAATTCGTTCGTTGTTGTGTTAGAGCATTTTAATCCTAGAAAACGTAGAATTGTTTAATTTAATTAACGAATGAACTTTTCATTGGTTTAATTTTTACATCAATAAATAAATAAATCTAACAGTTATATTAATACTTCACAGCTGCAATTATTACCACAAAAAAATACATAAATATTTGCCAGAATTTTAGTGTAAAAAAATAATGTTTAAATAGAATTCATTAATTTGATTATTTTTCATTGTTTACTAGTTCTGTGGATAATAAACAATTTTTACATTTCTTAACAAATAATAATTCCCCTATGATTTTCGTGGGAACGAATGAAACGAATTAACGTAATCGAGGGAGGGAAAAGGATTAAATTTAATTTTGCATTTGCAAAGGAGCGTCTTCTCCCTCGATGGAGCTTTTAATCGAAGATGATGATGACAATATCGGACAGTAATCGTGCATGTACGATCTGTCATTCCCGGCGAAATTAATTGTTCATGCAAGAACAGCCTCAGTATCTAAACAGCCACATAAATAAAGGTACATTCGTGTACGAAAGGCATTTATCGACAGTGATTATTTTTCCGTAGCGATGACGCGCGCCAGACACGTTCCTCATCCGTGCCTTTCACTGTCCATAGGTCTCCTGAAAACTGCAGAGAAACAGGAAGCACTTGACCTTGCATTCCCTAGCTATTTCTCTTCACTTTGATACCTTCGAAACTGTCGTTCGATGCTCTCGTAACGTCCTACGCTTCGTTGCATATCGAATCCACTTTAAACGGGGGACAACGACACCGTAAAACAGAGAAAAAAACGCAGAAGAAACTGGAAAACGTATGTATTCACGGACTGAACTTTTTTTAAAATGAAAATTAATTTATAGCTACATTCGAAGCCAGAAATCGAAGTAAAATAATCACTTGGCTATTAATGATGACATTAAGTTATCTCAACTTCATGGTGATGTAACCTTCTTGTCACGT